CCCGCTAAAGTCGCGATAGCGGTCCCAAACTATAGAACAATTACGTACTGGCATAGAACAACTTGGAACAACTCTCAGTTTTGCTGGAACATTATTTTAAAGAGTACTTTACTCTTGGAAATAAACACATTTTTTTTGTTTTTTCATCTTTTTTGCACGCTAAAGTCGCGATAGCGGTCCCAAACTATAAAACAATTACGTATTGGCATAGAACAACTTGGAACAACTCTCAATTTTGCTAGAACATAATTTTAAAGAGTACTTTACTCTTGGAAATAAACACATTTTTCTTGTTTTTTTGTGTTTTTCGACCGATAACGTCGCGACAGCGGTCCCAAACTATAGAACAATTACGTACTGGCATAGAACAACTTGGAACAACTCTCAATTTTGCTAGAACATAATTTTAAAGAGTACTTTACTTTTGGAAATAAACATGTTCTAGTAAAATTGAGAGTTGTTCCAAGTTGTTCTATGCCAGTACGTAACTGTTCTTTACTATAGTTTGATCGCTGTCGCGACTTTAGCGGGCGAAAAAGATGAAAAACAAAAAAAAATGTGTTCATTTCCAAGAGTAAAGTACCCTTTAAAATGATGTTTTAGCAAAACTGAGAGTTGTTTCAAGTTGTTCTATGCCAGTACGTAATTGTTCTATAGTTTGGGACCGCTGTCGCGACGTTATCGGTCGAAAAAACAAAAAAAACAAAAAAATGTGTTTATTTCCAAGAGTAAAGTACTCTTTAAAATTATGTTCTAGCAAAATTGAGAGTTGTTCCAAGTTGTTCTATGCCAGTACGTAATTGTTCTATAGTTTGGGACCGCTATCGCGACTTTAGCGTGCAAAAAAGATGAAAAAACAAAAAAAATGTGTTTATTTCCAAGAGTAAAGTACCCTTTAAAATAATGTTCTAGCAAAACTGAGAGTTGTTCCAAGTTGTTCTATGCCAGTACGTAATTGTTCTATAGTTTGGGACCGCTGTCGCGACGTTATCGGTCGAAAAACACAAAAAAACAAGAAAAATGTGTTTATTTCCAAGAGTAAAGTACTCTTTAAAATTATGTTCTAGCAAAATTGAGAGTTGTTCCAAGTTGTTCTATGCCAGTACGTAATTGTTCTATAGTTTGGGACCGCTATCGCGACTTTAGCGTGCAAAAAAGATGAAAAAACAAAAAAAATGTGTTTATTTCCAAGAGTAAAGTACCCTTTAAAATAATGTTCTAGCAAAACTGAGAGTTGTTCCAAGTTGTTCTATGCCAGTACGTAATTGTTCTATAGTTTGGGATCGCTGTCACGTCGTTATCGGTCGAAAAACACAAAAAAAACAAGAAAAATGTGTTTATTTCCAAGAGTAAAGTACTCTTTAAAATTATGTTCTAGCAAAATTGAGAGTTGTTCCAAGTTGTTCTATGCCAGTACGTAATTGTTCTATAGTTTGGGACCGCTATCGCGACTTTAGCGAGCAAAAAAGATGAAAAAACAAAAAAAATGTGTTTATTTCCAAGAGTAAAGTACTCTTTAAAATAATGTTCCAGCAAAACTGAGAGTTGTTCCAAGTTGTTCTATGCCAGTACGTAATTGTTCTATAGTTTGGGACCGCTATCGCGACTTTAGCGGGCAAAAAAGATGAAAAAACAAAAAAAATGTGTTTATTTCTAAGAGTAAAGTACCCTTTAAAATAATGTTCTAGCAAAACTGAGAGTTGTTCCAAGTTGTTCTATGCCAGTACGTAATTGTTCTATAGTTTGGGACCGCTGTCGCGACGTTATCGGTCGAAAAACACAAAAAAAAGAAAAATGTGTTTATTTCCAAGAGTAAAGTACTCTTTAAAATTATGTTCTAGCAAAATTGAGAGTTGTTCCAAGTTGTTCTATGCCAGTACGTAATTGTTCTATAGTTTGGGACCGCTATCGCGACTTTAGCGTGCAAAAAAGATGAAAAAACAAAAAAAATGTGTTTATTTCCAAGAGTAAAGTACCCTTTAAAATAATGTTCTAGCAAAACTGAGAGTTGTTCCAAGTTGTTCTATGCCAGTACGTAATTGTTCTATAGTTTGGGATCGCTGTCACGTCGTTATCGGTCGAAAAACACGAAAAAACAACAAAAATATGTTTATTTCCAAGAGTAAAGTACTCTTTAAAATTATATTCTAGCAAAATTGAGAGTTGTTCCAGGTTGTTCTGTTCGTTTTTAGCTAAAATATACAGTTTGGTGTTTAAGAGATAATAACTATAGCCGAAAACGTAAAAATACTGTTTTAGCGCACGAAACTATTTTTTATTATATCTCGTGAAATATTTTGTTTAGGGAATTATCACTTTGGAACAATGTTTAGAACAACTAGAACAATCTGGAACAACCTTTAAAAGTTCGATTTTCGAAAAATGGGGGGCCAGGTCAAAAAATCGTTTTTTTCCATTTTTCGCGAAAATTTTTATTTTTTAAATTTGATCTTTTGGAACAATTTAGAACAAGTCTAGAACAACCTGGAACAACCTTTAAAAGTTTAAAATTCGAAAAATGGGGGGCTAACTTCATACAGGCGTAATTGGCTCTATATTAAGCACATACTAATTATTGATTTTCACTAGATAACAATCTTTAAACATTATTTGGAATATTTTTATTTTTAATCTTCAATTTATTTGAAGTTATCCTTTTTGTTTTAAACAAATGAAAAATAATTTTTTTTCACCGTCAGCTGTTTACCAATCGATTTTTAACTCACTATTTTATCGAACACACTTCCTTGACCTTCTCTTGCAGATGGGACACGAAAATATATCTATATCTAAGAGATTCCTGCGAAAATATTTTACATTACAATTTCGGACATATAGTCAAAATTGCATGCCAGCGGCAGCGCCATTAAACACAGGCGTGCTCGCGAGATTGCGTTATTATTAATCATTCGTATATCGTTTACGAGGCACGTCGCGGCGCGTCCCTCGCCAATTATTAACGGCCGTTGCGCCCGTAGATATTTACTTATTAATTAACCGATTAACGTTTCGCAATTATGCGCCGTCACGCTCCAGTCGCGTACCCGGAAACCACGCGTATACCGCTTGTATCTCATATCAGGGCTTTTGCTTGTTCGATTAATAATGACCACGAATTATTATTGCGATACTCGCGACGTTTGGTACAATATAGAGATACCGAAATCAAAATTTGTCCAACCTACCATTTTTGGACGTTAATTAATTTCCTATGGTTAGATGAATTTATATACCGCGTTATCTTGTTTAATTATGGAAAGAACACAAGAATAAATTGATATTATGAACAGAGAAGATTTATGGAACAGAGTAAAATTGATTGAGTGTTAATAAATGAGTGTACAACGTACAGAGATATTGATAAATTAAGTCATCACTCGTTTCCGAAAATTAAAAGAACATTTTTTCTGAGATACAAAATTAATGACGCAATTAAATATACATTTCTTTTATATTTATACAAATCACTTTTGTGTCTCGAGTTTTAAGAAATAGAATTAAATTTTGTTGCATGGTATACCGCTTATACGCGTGATATAATCAAAATAACTGGAAATAATGCGGTATTGCCAGACATTGAATCAACGAATCTCCATCACGGCGCGGTGATTTCTACGAGCTCGCTCCGCTCGTAAATGCTGATTTATATATTAATTGACTGACACACCATGACCGTACCGAGTCACGCGCTCCCCTTACGATTACGATGACCCCGGTGCACCGAACAGAGGGTAGCATATCGCAGGGTATTTCAAGCGTATACTTAAAGTAAAGATACTTGGTTGCAAAATGTTATCCTATAAATATATTATCATGTCTTATCATATATGATATCGTGATCAATTATAAAAATAATAAAAACTATTAAACTTCACAGAAGTTCTTATAGGACAACAAGATTTTATTCTTTGTTTTAAAGAGTAATTTTATATAATTAATTTATTTTTTAATTTAATTTTCTATATTATAATAATACTTCTAATTTAATTTTTTTAATATATTTAATGCCGAAAATGTAAGAAAAAATTGCAAGTAACGTTTATTTAGATTTTGGATAAACTATAGGGCATACGTTTTCGTAGTAGACGCTACGAACCACAAAATGACCATCCGTGATTCAATTCAACGCGCTTCCCGTATCGAATCCGGTCACGTTGACAAAGCCTGAGAGTAAACCGAGTGTGCGGATCCTACTATATCTCGTGTTCTGACCCTTTGTTATCCTGGCGCAGCCTGCACTTTCTACTCCAAGCCAGAGGTTATGAATAATACATATTAATTGCGCCGGTTTCGTGTATACCTTGTTCTCCCTGTATAAATATATACGGCAAATTCGAGACAATCTCTCCATCGACACGCCAATTCGTTGCATGCATTCCTGGAGAATCGAACGAGAGGCTCGATAACACATTAGCACGCATGAATATCGCGATAAGGGACGCTGATAATTAACTGGATGATTGTTACGTGGATAGCTAAGGAGGTCCCGCCTAGTGCATTGTTCGCATGATAACCGCTCATTGTCGAGAGCGATTTAATCCTTAACCCTTCGCGATTCCGTGGAATAAATAGAATCTACACAGATTTTATATCTTGTATGTAGCACCTGCCGTTTCAAAAGTCTTTAATTAGCGCCCGATGGGAATACATTGTTATATTATGAGTTGAAAAAGAAAACAGCAAGGACTAAAGAAGTTTCTTATAATACCATTTAATTGAAGAGATGATTCGCGATTCTTTCTGTGAGATTTTTTCAAAAACATGTCATTTCCGCACTCATTATAGTACAATTAAAGTATTATAATTATAATTAGGGGAGGGTTTTTTGAGTGTTATCATTTATTTTAAAAATATATTATCAGTATATCTGTACTGTCAGCTTACTTTGATTAAAAGTCGACGTACCTTGTTTTAGAAATTAATTTTTTATCGCATATAATTTAATTTCTAACCTCTCTCTCTCTTTATTGTACATGTTTACTACATAATCTAATCTTGAGCTTAATCTATGTTTGCAGATCCTCGTAGAATACGACGACGTAGAGTGGCAAAGGAGGGAGTGGCTGTCGCCTCACAGGGATGCCGTGTTCTCCTTCTTTCTCATTGAACGAGGTCTCTATTGGGCCGAACGACCTGACCCCAGACACGCCAGTCTCATCCCCATCGATCATCACAATCACGCGAACAATAACCACCATCAGCACCGCATTAACGGGAAACCGCTTAGAGGCGCCACAGCAGTCGCTGACACCGTTGCCTGGCCAGCTCTTGTGAGTGCAAATTAATTACTGTATACTTTCGGATTTTCAGACGATTTTAGAATTCTCTTTCTTTAAAAAACATTGCAATAATTCTCGCGTGAAAAAGTGATCTGTACAATTTATTTTGTCTTATATTAATGTAAGAAGATATAAAAGTTTAAATATTAAAAAAAATTTTTTATCATATTTTTACTAAATTCGATATTATAGAAATATCAGATATTAGATATTCGATATTAGAAAATACAAAAATAAAATAAAAATATCAAAAATCTGGCATCGTGTATGAATATTTATATTCATTTTAAGTTCTTTTTTCGCTGAAAATATTTTACGAGAACTTTCTAGCTTCGTTTAGAAACGTTTTTTAAATTGTACAGATTATGCAATATTGTTGAAAAAATTCTCATGCTCGCGAATATAATGCATATGAAATTTCCGTAATATTCTGTTATGCATGTAATTTTCTTCCGATTTTACATAAAAGTGTATATAATTCGATGGGCTACTATTTTTAATGTAAATCTTTCATATTTTATCGATGATAATTGAAGAATGCTTGCAATCCCCTATTCGGATATTAATCAGTGGTTAATTAATGAAATATCCGATTCTCCATTCCTGTTGAATAAATTTTACGATCGACACAATTCGACCGTTATAAAACAGCGCGTTCCATTGGCTCGATGCTTTTTTGCTCGTTAAAATTTTAATGCTTCGATTGAGCGAGCTTAATTATTTTGCGAAGGCTCAATGACGCAAAAGTAATTACATTTATATAATATTAAATTTTTGCTTTCTGGTTTTTGGTAGACTTTAAAATTGAAATTCTGAATGCAACGTTATAAACATCATCAAAAAAAGATTTCCACTTTGCTCATTAACATCAAGTTTTTTTCATTTATTTGAACAGTAATCAAATTGTATGTTTAAACCTTATGACATATAAAATAAAAAATATTTTATACCTTTTTATAAAATATGGATATTTGCCTACTGCTTTCTTTTTTCTTAATAAATCGTTTTTTAAACACAAGTATACTAGGCATTTATTTTATCATAATTAATTAAAATTTCTGAAGCGTTAGCTGAGTTGAACTAATTTATGTATATATAGAAATAGAAAAGATTATTATTATAAACAGATGAATTATATATTTTTTAGAAATACTTTGATATAATTTTGTTTTACTTTATTATGTTTATACGATATACATATTTAATAATTTTTTTTCTTCTCTTGATGAAATAATTTGATATAAATTGATGTAATTAAATGTAACTCACACCTTGAACAGTGATGATATATATATGCGTCAGCTAAAATGTTATTTTACATAAAGCGGAATGTGCAATAATCGAGGATTGTGCACGTTTGTTTTTAGACTTTCTATCCTCTCGTGGCACGCGCTGAGTTGCACGAAGACGCCATGCCGATCGAGTTTATGCAAGATTGCAAACTGGACTTCGTCGATTACTCGAAGCTGAAGCCATTCACCGTAAGTACCATAAATTGATTTGAAACGTTTAGGTTCAGATCGTTCGATGAATTCTAACATCGCATATAACATTGCGTAGTGAATAATAATCGTTGACTCTGTAGTCATATCTATATGATATACAATAATTATATTTTGTTAAAGAATACAGTCGTGATAGAGTTAATTTTTAATTATTGCGTAATTACAAAGTGCACAACATAAATTCATAATTTATCAAAATTCATAATTATTTCACACTGTGCTTTTATCACTAATTTGATATTTTTTCCATTAATTTTAAGTGCGCTGTATTTTTCATAATTAACATTGCACCGGGATATTTAAACTTTGTTTGAAAACTAGATCTATGAAGAGAACGTAACGTTTTCGTTCAAGAGAAAGAATGAATAATTCAACTGTATTTTTTAATCATTCATGCGTTATTGCTGGTTTCCAAGAAGAAAGCGAAAAAGCGTAAAAACTCGCGTGTTCGCTGACCAAGTGTACATTGACGCAATCCGTTATCTCGTTTCCCTTCTAATTTCCTCGCGGCGTCCTGCACATTTCACGCGTGAGATGCGATAAAGGATTCCGAGACATACACACGCGACTAAGAGTCCACGCGCGCAAGTTTGGCGAAACGCGGCATGACACGCGGTGGCCACTTCCGCTTTACGACTGGAAACTTACTTCGTTAGGGACGAGCTGGAACTTAGTTAGGGGAACAAGTTCCCCGGAGCCATTGGAGCATCCGACACCCCTCTGAGGCGACGAACGCGAGAGCACGAGAGCTCTTCTCTCGAGTCGCGCGTGCTGCCGCTGTAAGTAATCTTTCACGGGACTCTCGTTGCCCAACTTCTCGTAAGATCTACGCCCGAAGAGAAGTAAGACCAAACTTGCCGGTTGGAAGACGAGCGGCCGAACTTTGACTCGAGTTGCCGTTTCACTTTCGCGTATGTGTAGGAATTATATTTGCGAACGTGGCAGAACTTTTCGCGCGCAACTTTTTATATTTCTTCTTGGATCAGAGTTCTTATTATTTCGTGATGTGATAAAATTGAAAGGGTATATATACATATACTAACCTATTCTGATATAAAGAAACGCGAGACACCCGACTGAGAGAATAAATCGATCAATCAATCTCTCTTTGCGAGAGAGATAGCGCATGCATACATGTGTACGTGTATATGTGTGTGTAACTACTTTAGAAGTTGTAGCACTTCTATTACACGGGGTAGGAAGAGTTGAGCGTGGTGGAATTGTTTCCAAGTAATTAAACTACCGGAAAACTTTTACCGTTAAAACTTTTCTCCGCTTCGGTGGCGGCGGTAGAGCGAGTTGTAAGTCGTTTACGTGCGGCGAGAACCTTCAGACGGTCAGGTTCAGATGTGTTTTACCTTTCAGGTACCTTCGCTCTTTATACCTGCTGACTTGATTCATTCTAAACAAGATAAATTATCCTCGCGGTTAAAAAAATGTGTACCTGAAATTTCACGCATTATCATAATAACGTGTAAATGCTGTTTTTCTTTCACACATTTTACAATGGAATTTCAAAGAAACCTAACTCGAGGCAAATTTCAACTACGGAAGCACATTTTTGAAGACAGAAGCTCAGGTCTCGCATTTCGACTAAACGGAGCGGAGTCAGCAACCTCTCTTTTCGCCAGGGCGATAAATTGATTCTTGTCTCAATAAAAAAATCTCCCTCGCGAACAGCCATAGATCTTTACTTTAAGCTGCGAATCGATGCGCTTGCGTTCTGTCGGGAACAGGAGAAAGTCGACGGGTTAAGTGTAAAGAAAAAAGAAAAAAAGGAAAAAAAGGAGCACGAGAGGGAGAGCCGAATTCGTCCGAAGGCGAAGTCTCGCGCGCGAGAGTGTGCTGACCCTGAACTATAAATGCAACGGGTTCTTTCTCCTCGCAGCATCGCGCCGCATACCTATCTCTATCAAACGTGCACGCGTGCACTTGCGCGCGACGTCCCTCTCGCTTTGCTCTCGTTGGGTTTAACACAACCACGGGTGCCGCGAAGGGGATGCAACCACGTCTCTCGCACATACATCCATATACATGTTTTATGTATCTCGCGGGTATTAAATATTTTATTATTATTATATATATATATATATATATATTTATCGATACTTGGAATTATTTTACGAATTTCACCCCAGGAAAATAAAAAAGTTTAATATTTACGACGCGACGGTAAATGGTAGAATATCTCGAATTCGACGCATAATTTTAGACTCTTCGGGGGAAATAAAATGTATCAAAGTGTACGGATATATGCTGTGTGGGACGATTCGAAAGGAAAAGTGAGTGGGTTCTAGAGAGCTACGATTTTCATTTCTCTGTGGTCTCGAGAAAGATTCTGTTCGACGCCCATGTGATAGTCGGTTGCCTCCTGCCGGCGGCGTCACTTGCCGGTTTGGCGACTCGATAGCACGCGTGCACGATCTGTGCGAGAGACGTTGGAGAACGGCCAAAGAGAGGCGCCAACATATTCCCGTTCTGCCTAACGGTCCTTGGCCGCTAAGCGCGACGACGCGGCATTATACCTTCGGTTCTCCCTTCACGCGATTCTCGCGAGACGTAGAACGCTGGATTCCTGCCTACGCTGTTTCGTGAAAGGCTCTTGCTCACCTCGAAGTGAGAGGGAAGAGGCAGGAAGGGGGTGCTCGTATTATTTCTTTTATCGAGGAAATTAATCCCGTATTCGTGTAAATGCGATTCAGTCATATTCTTTGTCTAAAAGCTAATTGTTTGACAAAGTATTTTTAAAGAGATAGAAGAGGTATTGTGGAAAAAATTAGTCTCATTAATTTATTCTAATTCATGATTTTAATATTTCAATTAATCTAATTTCCAAGATATCTAAATTTGAGAGAGAAATCTCTTAATAAAATAAATAAGTCGAAAAAAATTCTGAGACATCTGCGAAGGGGCATTTGATGCTTTCAAAGCTCTTGTAAAATAATCTTATATCCATGTAACATCTAATTACGAAGCAGTTTTGTTTCTACATGATCTTGCAAATAATTTACTACATCAGCATAGTTTTAATGCGACGCTATTAAGTATATTGACGATAAGGCGAACGTCCAAGTTGCAAAATATCGGATAATATCGTGGATATAGCGTGCTCATTATTGAGCCAATTTAGTGGAACAGATACGGACGACGGTTGAGAAAGTAATTGCGCGCGAATAATTTTCTTGCACGAGTGGTACATGCATCTGCCGCATTTTTAATTTGCGACGATAGTCACCTGTCTGTAGTCGTTTTACCCGCAGGTACTTCAGCCTTGTGATTGTACAGTGAACGCATCGCGATTAATCGCGGGCGCGTCCTTAATTAAGAAACTGCTTAATTAATTAGCTGCGGCGTGATAATTGTTAACGAGGATTCGCGATGCGTGATAGAAACGATAACAACCGACGCATACATAGCGTGAGTCTTGATTTTGCGATAATTTCATCTTGAGAGATATTTGGGGCGGATTGACAATGGTAGAGTTCACTCGAGAAAAGAACGAAATCATGAAAATTTTAACATATATAAATTTTTAGAATCTAATATTTAAGAGAAATTACGTATAAAATATAAAGATGTTATTAAAGATGTTATTAATAAACTCTAAAGTAAAGTATTATGTTATGGAAATAAAATCTAAAAGAGAGAGATGCTATACATATACAAGTAATATATTTTACATTTCTATATTTTTTTCGTGGGAATTAAATTATACGATGCTTAGAGTAATATACATACAGTTTCTATTCTCTTTGGAAATATTATATACAAAAATGAATTGTCTCTCAAGAGCGGAAACTATCTCTTTAACATAATATTAATTCTTCATAAAAATTTTAATGAAAGATATTTCTTACATTATGATGCAATGATTTTTTTATTACGAAAATATTATTGTCTCGTATTCTCGTATTTGATACATTAATTAAAACTCAAGAATTTTATATTGAAAATATGCGTATATGAAAGATAGATTTCTTCACACTGTGAAGAAATTTTTCTACTTGAAAATTCCATCGCGATCGTTATGAAAGAACTAAGACTGTGCAAGCATATAATTGGAAATGGGATTTTATCAGTACTCTTTGAAAGAGAGAAACCTAGGGAACCGATCGAGCAAGTTCCGTAATCTATAAATAGGCAGATTCGCGTATTCCTTAATATCTTTCACAAGGATAATTCAACGACCGACATAATTATATTATAATTGGTGCATGATATGTTCAGACGAACGTTACTTCTATCCGATATCGATTTTCGATGATTAAACGAAAAAAAAAAATATTTTAAGCCGTTCCGCGACGAGTATCTTCGTACCGGGATGCCATATGTTGCGCGAAATCTTCTATCGATTATGCTTCGCGATAAACGGACCTTCTCCTAAGCACGCGGAATGACTTTACAATGATTACAAACGATACCGAGGCCGGACGGCGCTTGCTGGTTACATGCAAGCACTTTCATTTATGATGAACGAGAAAATTACGAGAAGTGCTATTCCATGTATGTACACGTACGCATACATACAAAGATGTACACAGATCTTGTATGAGGAGATAATTTAAATGATAATTTAGAGATGGAAAATACTCTGTGCATGTGTGTACATATGTGTACGTATATATTTATCTAAATGCATCATAGGATATATATTACGAGAGATAATTTTTACACGAATGTCATAAATATTTAGCGTAATTTTAACAAAATTATATGATTGTTGAGACAGGAACATTTTAATCAATATTTTTTTAATCTTTTGCGTGTCTTTCTGTCTTCGAAGATGGAAAATAAATAATTCTTTGATAAACGAATATGATGAAAATAATGCTTCGCTTGAAATCCGTGACATTTTTGCGATAACGTCAATACTCTAAGACGAGTACTACACAATTAAAATATTTTTAATTAATTGCTTTTTGTTATCTTGCATAAAGTTCTATGGAATATTAAAGCATTGGGGACGAAGCGCAATAAAACTGACGTAATTTTAATTATAATACTTAGCACTTTGAGAAGAGTTTACGGTGCACTTTACAATATTAATGTTGGAGATACCAACTTGCAAAGTACATCGAGTTTGAGAGATGTGCATTATATTTCCAGTCTTATACAAACTAATTATTATTCGTATAATTGTGTAATTCTCTTTGACTGTACGAGGCTACCTTTTCATCATCTCTCAAGCATTCATTTCGTTCGATTCATTAAATAATGAAAGCTTCCAGAAATAATCTAAAAAAAGTTGAAAGAATACACAGATCGTAGAGGACATAAGATAATAATCGTTCGGAAACAAAGTTGAGCTTGTATCATCAAATCTGATCGAATCGTAATGTTCTTCGTCGCGGTCATTCCCGTTTGCAGGGCTCCTCAGCTCTCTCGATTACGTTTATTTCTATTTATGGATTGCCTGAAAAATCTAAAGACGATTTCCTGTCTGTAAAAGTTTGATAAAAACTCCACTATTCGCTGACAAATTCATTTCTTTGTTAATTTTGTTATGCTTTCAACTTTTTTCATTTAAAGGAATAACTTTTTTCATTTAATATTATCTTGCGTCACAGATTAAACTTTCAAATTTAATTTAGAATGAAGAAGAAGAAAATCTGTCAAATAGAGAGAAAGGAAAGACGGCCTTCCTTTCTTCTTCGGGACTTCGTCATATAAGGTGTCTCGTGAATCGCGTTCACGAACACTGTATAGACATTAAGTGCTCTCGACGCTTTGGTAATAACGTTCTAATTGCCGTTGTATTACTACCATTAACGCGCCTCGCACCGTCACGCTGTGCGAGCGATTGCATAACGCGTATCTGACGTAACGGCGTAATAGTGACGTAATGAAACGCGGACACGAGCGATGTCCTCGCTCGAATGCATATACTCGTCAATGGAAAAAGCAATCGCGAAAAAAATACGAAGATCGACATTATTATATTTTCTGAATCTATGTAATTTTATTCTCAAGCCAAGCTTGTTTTATTTATAAATATATACAAAATTGCATAGAAATTCATATATTTTGGAAAAGATTATCACACACATCATTTCAATAATATAAATATAAAATACTGTATTGATTAGTTACGATCCTTGGCGATTTATAGTTTGAGAAACTAGCTAATTAACGGTTTTCAATATCGCATTGACGTTCTAATTTATATGTATGCATATCTGCATGTGCTGAAAATTATATCGAGATATCTAATTATAGATTCAATAACAAAAGAATATTAAATATTCGAATGCTATTTTCTATTCTATTGGATATATAATTTCTGCAGACTGCATTCTTACTCGTGTTAATAAAAACATTTTCACATCGATTATATTGATCGTGTAATGAACGTGATAATATCACGTTCTCTGGCTTCGATTTAAGCTATTTAATATTTCAAGTTTTTTTTAGCACGCTGTCTTTTATTATTTTCTCAATACGTTATAATTTTATTAAAACATGAAATAAAAACAGAGTCAACGACATGCAAATGAGATGGAATATGTACGACCTCTTTGTTCAGTACATAACAATATTTAATAATATTATGCAATAGTTGATTAAGTATTTATTAAGATGATGTTGCGTATATAACTCGAATGTAGTTAATACATTGTCATCTATTTCTGTTCTTCTATTTTTATTCTCATTTATTTAAAGTTCATAAAATTACTAGTGCATTTTTTAACTTGCTTTTATTAAATTTATAGATATTATTTTAAAATTACAAATAAGATATGTTAAAATACATAAATCTCGCGTTTTTTATACGAAAAACAAATCTCTTACCCGCAGTTTTCCACCGAGATTTTATTTTCTTTTATCTCTTATCAAATTGCATAAATTTTTACTTTTTCCTAATTTTTTTTCCTTCCAAAATCGCGGACAGCTTCTGGAATAGTCCGCTTTTCTTCTTAATCAAGTTTCACGAACGAAGCTTTAATCTCGGACTTTTTTGCTCGTCTTTGCAGCAGGACTGGGAGCTGACTAAGGGAACGATGCCCTGGGGAAACGCCGTTCGGAGATGGGCTGAAATGCAGGACGGTCAGAGGATCCTGCTGACTACGCCTAGCGTTCTGGTCGGTTTCAGAGTCGAAGTTTATCGGGCGGAAGGCACCACACAATGGTACACAGCCGTGATCGTCGGTTATAACGAGTCCACTAAGGTAAGTCCGACTAGAGAATAAATATTATGGTGTTGTCTTATCAGTATATGAAAATTGCCTTGTAGCAGCTTGGGAGATTCTCAGCTCGATATTAAATTTGACAATGTTCGTTAATGTAATATACTAATAATATACGTAATATTCGCAATGACAGAAATATCATTTGAACAAATCATTAATTATAAGTCGTTTTAAGCTATTTTCGAAATTTCTATTTTAACATATTTTCAAGAATATGGTTTTGCGACACGACACGAAGTCAAAAGTGTAAGAAAATAGATTAAATGCTTTATTTGATAATTTTTTATAAAAATAGATTGAGCTACTTTTTATCAATTTGGATCAGTTTATTTGCTTGTCAGATTGATAATAATTTGAGATAAAAAAATCTAATTTTAATTTTGACAACGAACAGTTCTGCAATTGAATGATGAATTAATAATTGTTCGGCAACCAGTTAGAAGCAAGTCTTAATTTTTTAAATAATCTTTTACAATTACGTCAGCTGATAAAATTATGAAGCATTAATTTGCCATAATATACTGAAGAAAAATGCGACTGTATCTAAATAATTCAAACGAGCTATTTTTTTCTGTATTCGATATTTTCATCGTCTTTATCGTTAAACATCTTAAGATAGAGCGAACGAATGACGGCCTCGCATTGTCGCGAAAGTAATCCTTCTCGTCTTGTCTTGCGCGGAAGCTTCCGATAATTTATCCTGGCACTGTCGTAGTATTCCTATTGGAAAACTAAATCCCTGAAATAGTCGGCGACGAGGAAACGTTACGGAAAAGGTGCAGGAATCGAAGGGCGAAGGAACATAAAATATCGGGTTGTCTAAGGAAGCTTTTGTCGCTTCGCGCGCTTTTTCTTTTTCGTCCTTTTATTCCCTTTGTATATACGTCTGCCTCGAATATTCTTCGAGAGTGCTAGCGAAATCGAATCGCTTGTCTGTTGAAGTTTATTCGAATATTCTTCGTCATAACTTTGCCTTGTGGATAAAGATTTGTAAAATATCGCAAAAAGATGACGAAGAACACATCAAAATATATGAGAAATGTGCACTGTATACTAATCATTCATTGAGCACAACGAATTAATCTAAATGTAAAATTTTGCAAAATTATTGTGTCAAATTTTATGCCATCAATTTTATGTAATTTAATTTCAAGAAATAAAAATAATTAAAAAAAAATTATTTTTCAAGCAGAGATTTTTCGCGAATTAATACTCTTGAAAATTATCTATTGCATCAAAGTGATAGAATCTCGTGAACTGCTTAACGTTGGTAAAGTTTAAATTTTATTTTAGTTAGTTCGTAACACATTATCATGACATTACATCACGTTATGACCTAAGATCAAAAAAGTAGTGTTTGTTATAATAAGGCGGTATTATGTAGCACTTGATAAGGGCCGAAACCCATGGCCGAAACGTCGTAAAGTTTTAATAAATATTACTTATAGCCAGATATGGTTGATGAAATTATTACCATTTTTAATTATCAACTGGTGACTTCTTAGTTTTATATATATATTTAAATTTTATATCAGTGTCTAAAAATTCCAAGTTTGAACTGTAGCCATAACAGTGCTGTCAATAAGAGAGACAAAATAAGCGAGTAAAAATTGAGTTTGCCGGAAATTACGTGGACGTGTACACAAATGACACAAATCCAATCGCCTCAACGCATATCTCGCAACAGGCAGACGATTCTGTCTCGCCGCTGATCAATTAAGCGCATTGACAAGAAGAGGCGTCGATCGTGATGGCTCTTAACGAGAAGCCAGACCATCGATCTCCGACCCTCGAATTGACAGACAACCGCTTTGCGGTCCGCCGGGGTGAATCACAAAAATTCTCAGAAGAATAAAAAATGATTAATGTTCGTGTATATGCATAAATTCTTGATGAACCGCGAATAAAATTATTTGCAGGACTCGAAATCGATGAATGTGGAAAATTGATTTGTCTCAAATTTAATAAAAACGATATGAACGGAGAAACAAAAAGAATAGTATAAGTAAACGTTCATAAGATTTTTATTTAAAAATTAGAGGCTTTTCAAAATTTTAGTGTCTACATATCTATGTACATTTTCTTTCTTTGCAAATGTGGGCAATAGGTATGCGAACAATATTTGAGTGCCTGTGGATTGTATGCGAATAAATATGTTGTACACGGATAGTATCTATTCGAAAGGAAAATTTCAAAACAAATATCTGTAGGTCAGAATGTATTTGTAAACAAGCTCTCGCATACCAAGTTTGTCTACCAAACGTTCTCGCGTTTATGCTCACTTTAGTCGTGAACAGCTAGCGACAAAGATCGTTCTCGAATCAGTCTTAAATTTCATTGAAGACGTGTGTTTATAACGATTAAGTGTGAACGAAAAATATTGTACGTACATAGTATGTTGAAAATGACTACTCATTGTCTACGTATATATATGTACGTAGATGTGTACGTTTAATAGCGCGTAATAATACGTAGCGCGTTTCTCCTGATCTGATTATTATTAATACATTTTTAGGATTTGACTGTCACCGATGACACGGTCCTCGAAGATCACAACGAGGATCCTACTTTAGTACAAATGCGCCTGATTGGCGATGGAGGTGAGAAGCTTTAGTATATGAAATAAAATATATGTTTAACTGATGAAATGTAGCGATTAAATTTAATATCGGAAAATGTTCAATATATATGTGAAGTAATTTAGTATGAAAAAGTACCGATACTATATTATTATATTTAGAAACGCTTATATATATATTAATGCTAATAATTGCATACATCGTATATATCTTTACACAAACGACACAAAAATATATTACTTAATATTGGATGATCGCTGCGCGAATGTAGAGATAATTTCTTATTATCTTCCAAATTGCGCTAACGCATATTTCATCATAACTTCGTAAACAATATTGTCGAATAAGTGGAACACAAAATTATGAAGCATAGTGAAATACATTTTCATTTTTTTTTTCCTCTTACGCAGTCGTCGAGAGCATCATGAGGGGCGAGGTCGTCGGCATGACACCGAGGAGGTCGAGGTCATCGACTGCTCTGACGCACGCGCTCGTGGTGAGTGAAATCCAATTTCGTTCTATTATTAAACGTTCTGCATATAATTTACGATCAACGAGTATTATAAACAGGAGATATATCGACACACCTTTATACACGCATATTTCTCATACTGTCACGCATATAATATATATAAATCGTGTCTGCAATAAAATTTTCGGAAATTAATATATTCGGAAAATATATATTTCTACGTCATATAAAATTATTAAATTCTAATAAACGTACACGGAAATTTTATTAATTGCAGATTACATTTTATAAATTTGCAAATTTATTTGGAGAAATAGGATTTATTTTAAATTTTAAAGTTTCTTAAAATGTTCAATTTTTGATATTTGCTATTTATCGCGATGTTGAATTAGCGTTAATCGAAATTTCTGCAACTACTAGCAGACGACGTTTTTGCTAAACGGTTGTATAACGACGAAATGATTTGCGCGAGATCGAGTCATGAATTAAGGCGCGCGATAATCTCTCGTATCGTGGCAAACATCTTCTCCGCGCGTGACGATAGCGTGCGGTTGTCACGTGGTAAACCGTAATTGGAATCGGGCCGATGTTGTGCCGTTTTAAAAGGAAACCGCCGCCGGTAATCGCGCCTCGATGTTGCGCTCTCGCAACACGTGCACTTCGTCGCATACGTTCACGACATATGTTGTCGACGTGCGAACACTCGAGACAAGCATCATCGATCACGTTTTACTCTCGTTAGTTGCCGTATACTCGATTTGCTGTATAGCCGAGATTCGAACGGCGGAATGGCAGATTTGCCATTGCTTAGGTATATATTTATCAAGACATTTCTATTTAATTTTCGACGTTTCATAATTCATTGAGGGACTTCTACGGAGAGAGAGAGAGAGAGAGAGAGAGAGAGAGAGAGAAGACAGAATAACATATTATCGATATCATTATTTCGTAGCTTTTATCAGAGGTTATCGCGTTACCTGAGCTTACATAAGATAAGCAAGAATCCGGAAAATGGAACATTTCGATAATCAATCGATATATAGGTATCTTTAACGAAATTCAATAACATTGAATATATGTCTGTTATGGACATAACAGAAATTTTTAACATTCCCGAATACATTTATGTATCTGCTCGAAAAAGAAAATGAATTTGAAATATTGACAGTATCGTGCCAATATTTGCTATACAAATTACGCTTAAGTGACAAAATTTTATAATATAATATATCTCTTTGAAATTTTTTTCTCGTTTTGAAAATAAACTGTTTAAAAGCATTCGGAAGAGATTACATAAGCATTATGCAATAATTATTAATTAATTAATTTCGATATTATATATACATATAGAGAGAGAGGAGGAGGGAGAGTCCGATTGTTTGTAATAATAATTGAAATAAAAAATACAGACGAGCGCGAGTTATGATATTAAATTGCAAGTTATGGAGGAAACATTTGTCAAGCTTCCTGTTTTCAGTATACAAAGCGATGCCTATGCGTATCGAGCGCTTCCCTTTAATGCGGAAAATCAATAGAGTCGAGCTTGCAGCACCCTCGGGCTTTCAGGAATCGGGAAGCCCGGAATAGAGTCCGTTGCTACCTTCGCGGCCGACTTCCGTCGTGTACGCGAATACTCCACCTTCCTAGTTCTCTCTCTCTCTCTCTCTTCCTTCTTCCCTCGTCCCTCACTCCCTTTATCTCTTGTATTCCCTTCGCTCGATTTTCTGTCGAGGCGGCAATCGAGGGCATAGTTGTCGTGCTTGCGTGCTAAATTTCTCTTCGCGAGAGATATACGTGCGCTTCCGGATTCTAGATAACGTGATTGTCGAAGTAGACGAACGGATGTCAGGTTGCGACGCTGATGCCTGTTCGATTTTTTTGGCAAATGCATTCTATCGCGAGTCACATCCTACTTTTCGCAAAGTCTCTCCTCTTACAAAAACACATCTCAAAATCGTATTGCAATTCATTTACTTTGCCGAATTTCGAAGTTTTAAGACACATCAAGTGAATATAAAAATTAAAATCTTTTCTCTTCTAACATGTTTTATGTGAAACTATCACGTGTGCAATTTTTTTGTATTGGTAGAAAAAAATATGCATTATTGAAATTATTTTTATCGTAATCTTTTGTATAGCAGAAATTTGGTAAAATATAGGTATATATACTATAATGATAATGGATTAAATGAGATTTGTAGATATTTATGAAACCAAATCTATTTTTGAAAATAATATCTATCTTGTTGCGAAATGACTAAATTGCTAAAATTTTAGTCATTTTCGCAATCTTTCTAAGTATGCGACGATAACTATATGAATTCTGTGATTTTATTATTCTTCGGGAATAACGGATCTCTCTTCCTTTCTCTCTCTCTCTCTTTCGTTGTGGAGAGTTAATTAATACGGACGGAACGAGTATTTTGCCCTTTTCACAAATGCAAATCAGACGCCAATTCGGCATTGTTCTCCGGGATCAACCAGTTCCATTCCGCGGCTTATGTTGTCAAATTTGTCGACATAAATCTCGCGATTTATCGCCTCGATGACTGGATCTGCTACCTCCGCTATCTACAACGACATGAGTGCGACGAGAATAACGGCAATCGTAATTGCATATTCTATTGCCTGGAACCGCGTTCTGCGTTGACATGAAATCGTTATTAACTGCCTCGGAGATATAATTAAGCAGTGGCGCCGTCTTTTTCCGATTCTACATTGAGATGTATTTGCACATACTTTAAAATACATCGTCATAATCTTATGCAAAAATAACCAACGCCACTTAAATGTCACATTTCGTATCGATTTATTCCGCGATACCCATTTCCAGCGTATGGAGAGAGATACCCTTACCTAAATACATATCAGACGTTTATTAAATCGAGATCTCGCTGTAACATGACGTGCCTATCGGTGGAAATAACTGGGTGATAGCAAGTAACTAGACGTGAATTGAAAATTGTAAAAAAATTTATAATTATGCAGTAATACGATTATATAATTATTATATAAATATTAATATAAAAGAGAGAAAATGGAAGAGGGAGGGCACAATAAAATACATTTATTTTCATCTTTTATAGTTAATTTTAATTATATCTTTTTTTGCAATATTATTTTTGTGGAAATTGAACGTAAAATTTTCCACTGTACATATTTAGTGCTAAAAATAACTGTGACGAATAATCAATCCATTCAGCTCTCATTAAAGAAAAATCGGTAAATCAATAAAGAGAGAAATCGAATTCCGTAGAACAAAAAGAATGTTCAGTAATCCTCGAGCGTCTTGTATTCTTTGCTTAAGCGGATTCGATTTAGTTTCGCGTCGGACATTTTGTTCATTCGTCTTGGGATTTAGCGGGGTGCAATTCATCGACGGCTTCGTACATTCCACCACACGGCAAAGGTCACGAAAGAAAGTAATTCCTTGGCTGGTTTCCACTTTGCTCCGGTTGCAAGGATAATCACAGGACGGAGATGGATTTCGCGACGAAAGAAAATGATTTATGAACGCCTCCTTGAAAGACGAGTGAAATGAGAGGAGTAGCAGGGGAAGGGAAGGAGAGAAGGGAGGGTGGGACTGCGAAAAGCCCCTTTCGCATTAAAAGGCATTGTAAGATCGAAGGGAGCGAATTTCGCGCAAAGTTTTCTCAAAGTTTCCCCAAAGTACGAAGAAATCTAGGAAGTAGAAATAACTTGTTCGAAAGGCGGCTTCGCAACTCGCGAGAATCGGGCGTTAACGATAGAAAGTTCGGAATTGTCAAAGCGGCCGGATAGTTCTTTTAAAGCGGCCATCAAGCCCGAATAATTCGATGGCAACTTCTGATTGCCGTTTCTAATTTTCCACCATTTCCACCAGCCATCCTCTGGCACGAGTGGTCCGCCTCGGATGTATCCGTGAGTTTTCGCGGATTATTCTGTTCGCCAATGCGGGAAAGTTACCGTTGCAATTTCCGCGATTAGATCTCTCACGTCTCGTACAATTTGCTATGTTAAATCGTGTTTTTTACAGCTTTCGACTCACCGGTGAAGCGGTAAAGATCGCGCATTATCCGAACATTAAAAAATACTCTCCTTTTCCGTTTTCTTTTTTTTTTCCTCTCTTTCTTTTGCTTCGCGTACTCGTGCATGACCGCGGTTTATGCAAGGTTAATCGTTTTGGAAAATGATATTTTAATAACACGTTCACCTCGCAGTGGGCTTCTATTATCTCAGATTGATGATATTATAAGTTTACATAATAAATCATCGAACAGATCTCAAATGATGTGATTTATAGTTATATGCGTACAGCTATAAAAAAAAAAAATTGTTAAAAATACATCAACTTTTGTAGGATTCATAGATCTTTTGTGCTGTCACATCTTTTTTTTTAGATAATTGTTGGACGAAAGGAAAGTAATTACTTTGACGTGAGCTTGCAACAGCTTACGAATTAAAATCGAGGAAATGCTCGCTTATTAACTTCCTGTTGCGTTTGTCTATTTTCGCGATGTATGTATACAGGAATATCGTAAGCTGCGCGTAAACTTTCGTCTCGCTCGTAGTAGAATTCATGAGTCATGTCGAGTACTTTGGTCCGCGGGCGACGCGACGTCGGAAAGTTCGAGGCTTATACGAGTTCGAAAACTCGCAGAAAGGGATTAAACCTTGGCGACTACTGCCACGTAATGGAACTCGCTTGCGAGAGAGACATGTTCCTCGAAGACGATCGTTAGGAGAGCTTACGAGACGAGGCAGCGTTTTCGACGAAGAATCATTCCGTCTTTCAAATATCAATCATTGTAACTTTACTTTTTTCAGAGTGATTCTCAAACTTGGTTTACGATTCTTTTAAATTCCACCGGAAAGAATAAATGATGAGATCAGGGTCAGATAGAAGATGATGAGCTGTATCTTAGGTTATACATATATGTAGGAGGAAACCTTCGAATTTAATTTTGATAATTAAAATAAAATCTTAATTTAAAAATCACGACTTTTGTGATTGAAGAAGAATGAGGATATTGAGGAATGTGTTT